CATTCCAAGATCATCGAGATGAGGACTTTCTGGGCTGTTCTCTCCGGCTCAATTACAGGTAAAATATGAAACTTCTGTCCTGAGTCCTGGGTTCAGAGACTTTCTGGATTCCTCGTTATGGAGTAGGCCCATTTCTCTATATCTCATACACATCGGGCTGTATGGAGAGTAAACTCTGGGAAGACATGGCGGTGAGGCTTTGATGTTAAGTTTCGCTAGAGATGTGTAGCAGGGCAGTGAGGAAAGTTGGATGAACGCCAGTTATGATAAAAAAGAGAAGAGTAAGCACCTTCCACGGTGGAGCTGCGCGATGCAGCTGTTCTGTCCGTGCTGGTGTGGTCGGTTGGCGGTTGTGTCAGCCAGTACAAATCCGCTGATCCAACACGCCCGAACCGCTCTGGACTGACGCAGTGGACAACAGGCCTGCCGGCTCCTGAGTAGCCTCCTCCAAGCCTCCGCTCAGCAGTCGGACCCACACCTGGTGGCCGTGTATGATCCCACCATACCACCCGGTGACAGGGCTGCGCCTCCGAACCAGGCAGGCTGAACTCGGGCCCATGCTCCGCCGCTGTTGCAACCCTGGAGCGTCGCGTCATTTCCACCAGCAGCCGCGGGATGCAGTCTGAAAGGCCTGCCTCTCGCAGCTCAATCCAAGCCGAGCTCTGTGTCTCACCGGGGGTCCTCCAGGAGCAGGGAGCGAGCTCTCAGACAGCTCTCAGTAAAAACAGCTCTGACTGACACTATCCGCCGATCATCACACTAGGCCTAAGGCTGTCCCTATACTGGGCAGTAAAGAGAGTAGAGAGTTAAGGTGCAAGGAACGCCAGCATGCATTGCTTGCCTCAGGTGTTCGCAGGAGCTGGAGGAGCGCTGAGGTTCAGTCAAGGAAAAAAAATCAGTGGGGTGACAAGACTGCGGGGCTGCTTTCGCAGCACCCGTCAATCATAGGGGCAAGGCTTGACTGGAAGCCAAGTCAAAGCCAACAATAAAAGCTAAGGAGCTAGAGTCCGTGCTCGAGGCCATGAGGCCCAACCCGGAAAAAGACTCTTCCGAGTTCAGCTCTGATGGAGCATGCTGGCGATTCCTCTGAAATACAGAGTCGTGATATTTGGTGAAGGAAAGAGAGACGGGCTTGCCATCGCATCAACGCGAGAGAAGAACCCTGGGAAAAGATCACCTGTCCAGAAAGAAACTAGAACGAGGGAATAGTACATCTGTCGGCATGCTATCAGAAAACTAGGCCAAGTTTAGGCTGAAGCTGTAACCAGGCAACAAAAGAAAGCCATAAAAGCACACCCTTCTGAAAAGGCCTGCTTGCACAAAGATGTTGTGGGCGGTAGAAGATAAGAGACACAACTCATTTGTTGAGTGTTAAAGGATTAACTCTCCGCAGTCCCAAAAATAAGAGAGTTTGGAGTTCCCCAGGGGAAGCGTCGCTGGGCACCTCTTCTAATTCCTAATGATTTCATATCAAGGTGATGTATGTCTCTATGCAGAATGATGTAGCTTGCTCTTGTATTTAATAGATGCAAACCCTACCACAGAGCTTATAATGGTTGATAATTAGGTGAAGTTATAATACATTTCTCCATCTATCTTTTCTGTCAGAACTGAGCCTGTTTTATTTGGGTCTAGATGTTATTTTTAAAGAGATTCTTTCGACGCAATTTCTGGTGCCGATATCCTGATGTCTTTGTGCGACCAGCCGCAGGAGAGCGAACACACTGATGAACCATGCAGCGCTTTTATCGGCTCAATAAAGGGCTTTTAATTGTTCCAAGCATGCTTCTTTATATATTTGAAGGCATGCAAGTGGTTGTTTTAAGGACATAATATACAATCTAAATATGATATAACACTTTCATTGTTAGTTCTAGACACCCTACAATCTTTCACCGTTAGGCCAACCCGGATCATTTCAGATTCCAGTTTCTAAAAGGAAAGAAAGAGCTTGAGAGGACTTTTTGTCAGGCGGCTATACTTGCCAAAATGCAAAAGAAATAAAAAAAGATGTGGAAAATATCAAACGTCTAAAGAGACCTGTTTGCAGATTAGAGAGGGACCGCGCTTTGGATGAATGTATCTTCAGCAGGCTGTAAAATGGAGCTGATTCCAACATATAAGAAAACCAAGAGAAGACATGTTGAGCTGAAGACCAGCATGGTGGGTTTAAACATGCAGCAGAGTCGTTTGACTCATGCAGCGGTGAGGAAGACAGGTTAGGATCGGGCGCGCTGGATCACTCACCGCGTCGATATTCAGAGGAGTCGCAGCACAGGTGACCCCTTCCTGCCTGCCGTTGAGGGCCATACATGAGTACTATCTCCTCGTGCTTGGAAGAGGGTTTTAGAAAATGTCCACACTGGTTAGGTTTCACCAGAACGAGACATCCTCTGAAGATGTCTGAGTCCCTGACCTCTCTGTCGCCACAGAACCAGGAAACCTGGCAGATCTGCAGACACATCGTCACTACAAGCAGCGTACACACCACTTATGATACGCAGAGGATGCAGAACATAATGTTCTCGACAGCATCTCTTTCTTTAATAACCAGGCCGTGTTTCCCTACGCGTTCCCCAGAAGACGGTGCAATGGAACTGGGGCCCGGGAAGCCCCTCTGCGACGCAGGAGGTCCCTCATGCGGGCTTTGAGCACAGCACGGGGCAGAAACCCCTGGATTCCAGATCCTCGTGAACTGAAGACAAACACATGAGCAGTGGTTATCAAGCCAGGTTGTTTGGTCACCGTTTAAATATTTAACAAGACTTGGTCAAAACGTTCCTACAAAATTAGGGCTGTGTTTTCAGTATTGGATGATATATGCTATAATACACATATATATTATGATTCTGATTCTGGATGTAGAGCGTAACCTTCGACGGTGAGGGTGGGCGGAGCCTCCATTGCTCCTCGAAAGTCGTTCCCTGGCGGCAGCAGCTGTAGACGGGCCGGCGTCCTCGGTGAAGACGTCCAGCAGGCATCAGTGTGTGCTCGTTCTCGTCATGGAGGGATCTTGCACACTTTGAGTCTGTGATCACCTTCTGGGAGTCTTTGTACCACAGGAGACCCGTGGGCATCGGCGCAGGAGACCGCCGCTCACTGGCACCGTGAAGGCGTACGGAGCGCCCGGAGGAAACGGTCTGAGGCTGGCATCTGCCGCTCGATCTGAGGAGGCTCCGGTCTGAAGCACAACGCAGAGAAACCCTCAGAATATAGGAACAACAGATGTATATAGCATTGAAAACATGGAGGTGGAGATCACCTCACCGCCTGACATGGAGAGGTTCATGGTGGTCCGGTTTTTCGCCGGCGATGAAAGGTGTATTTCTCCGGCGTCGGCTCCTGAAGGTCTCCGTCACGGTGAGAGGCGGTGAACCCTCCGGATGCAGACGTAAGTTGAAAGCGCGCTGCTCTCCACAGAGAACTGGATCTCCACTCCGTTCCTCAGCCAGCGGCCCTCCACCTCGTCCTCGTTCACCTCCAGCTCAAAGATGGCGCGCTGCTTCTCCACAACCTGAAGATAAACCAGACCAAGGCTTTAATCCGGAGAACTGAGATCCAGGAGGTCTGTTATAGTTCTAATGTTTCTTAATGCTCTTAATGTCTTTCATGTATCTAAAGCAGTTTGAATTGCCTTGTATTGAAAGGTGCTATATAAATGCACTTGCCTTGCATATAGTTATATCTGTATATCATTTTTGTTTTATCTTTCATTTTTGTAATCTTTAATCTTGTGCGAATCTGTGCCGTCCTGTTTTTCATTCTTACCCTGTTGCTGTGTAAACCACCATTCCCCCCCATCTTATGTTATCTTATATCTGCAGCTCTGTGGTTTTCATATGATGATCATGATTCTACTCACGGTGATGTCCCTGCTGGCGGGTTCGGAGATCTTGATGTCCCGTCCCAGGACCCCCAGCGAGGCCTTGGACATGCTGGACCCGGCCACCGCGGTGTACTCTCCGGCGTCAGAGAGGCGTACCGACTGCAGCAGCAGCTGGTGGGCGAACTTATCTGAGGTAATCTTATATCTGCAGGAGACACAGCAGAGGCAGCCTGTCAGGAGACTGTTTGGGAAATATGTTCCTAGGCCCGTAATCACATGTCTGTACTGCCCTCACTGAGCACCTGCAACCTTGGGCTGCTCTCAGTGTTTTGTCTCCCTGTTCCTGCCGATATATATGTTTTATCTCGTTATGCACAATGTTGATTATTCTCTCAGAACTAACTAAATACATGGGTCTGAGGTAGAGATCTTCAGAATTGGCTTGGCAGCAGCTGTATCACCTCCTGTCTGCAGAACATGTCTTGTGAATTCTCCGTCCGAAGCTCCAAATAAACCATCAGTGTTTGCCATCAAAGTTCCTGCTCTCTCCGCGTCTCTCTGAGTCTCCATTGCTTCAGAAGTTTCCATCACAGAAACCTTATTTTCCACCTGTCTGCGTGTCGGTGTGATCGGGGAAGGGCTTACCTGTCGCACATCTCCAGCTCCTGGCCGTCCTTCATCCACATCACCTGCACGTTGGGCTCGGAGACCTCACACTCGAAGGTGGCCCTCTTCTTCTCCGTGATCTTCATGTCCTTCAGGTGCTTCGTGAACTCGACCACGCGCGCTGCAGCGGACAGAGAGAGGAAGTTACATGACAGGTTTTTAGCTTACGCTTTCATCCAAAGCATTTTACATTCACTCAATACCGTAGAGATGCGTCTGGGAGAAATATGGGGTTAACTTCCCTCCGAGAGACAGGTGGGATCTAACTAATAACCCCCTGATTTGCATACCAACACACGTACCCACTGAGCATTCAAAAGGCACACGCAGTGGGTACAAAACAAAAATGTTTACATCGCAGGAAAAATAACACTGGTCAGAACCAAGTTAGATTTTAAAAATACTTTAATTTTATAATCGTTGTATTCCTGACCTTCTCTTACTTTCTCATGTTGTTCATGTTTGCACAACCACACACCAAAGCAATTCCCTCGATGTGTAAACCTGGCAATAAACTCCATTCTGAATCTCATTCTGATGTAACTACCATATGTAAATGCAAATTCCAATAAACAACAAGTGGCTGACAAAATGAAAGAGAATGAAGAAATGATGCTGGTGGAGCCCCAAGCAGAGCAGAAAGGAACAAAGAGAGAGATGTTACCCTCCACGTGGAGCTTGGCGGTGGTGATGGCCGACCCGGCGCTGAAGCTGTAGGCGGCGCTGTCTCCTCCGTGAACATTCCTGATGCTCAGCGTGTGCGTCAGCTGCTTGCAGCGCGCCTGGCAGCGGTCCGTGGAGCGGATCTCCACGCCGTTCTTCAGCCACTTGTACGTCACGTTCTCGTTGTTCACCGTCACCTCGAAGGTCACCGTGTCTTTCTCCTGAGCGTTCAGGTCCTGCAGCATCGTGGAGATCAGGATGGCTGCAGGACAACACGGATAGTTAAGAAGCAGAAGGCATGATGTTTGAAATACTTCACAAATTAAGAATATTCCTAATTCCTGCATCTCTGTTCCTGCACTATTTTACCTCCTTATTTGTTATTGTGGACTTATGGCTCTAGACTTTCAAAGTAAAAGATGGTTGTGCTTCATGTTAATGAGTGCGGAGTTCCCCAGAGAAGCGTCCTGGGGTCTCTTTTATTCCTGACGTATTTCAATGATTTAAAATAAGGAGATATATTTTTCTCTTACTCTTAAAGATAAAAATGTTAACATCAGAGCGTAAAATGTTTTAATAGGTTCTCCAATTCTCCATTTTGCCAAATAAGTCGATTTCTATTTTGGGTAAATACATTTTTTAAGAGATCCGTGACAATTACAGACAATGTGCACATGACACCCATATCCTGTAATTAATTGACGATATGATTAGGAAGGTGGCCTTTGCACGAAGTTCAGGTAACATAGCTCGCTAACAGCTTACGGGTGACGGTGAGCTTGGCGGACACTCGGTCGTTCCCACACACGAACGTGTACTCGGCGGCGTCTTCTCGGCTCGTCTCAGGTTTGGTGATCTCCAGCTGGTGGAGTTTCCCCTGGGAACAAAAACGATCTGAACATTGTTCGCTCATCTCGATGTCCACGCCGTCCTTCAGCCAGAGTGGACGGACGTTGAAGTGAGAGACCTCAAACACTCGAAGGACGCCGTGTGCGTCTCCGGCACCGAGAACGCTCTTCCAGAGGCTTGGTGACTCTCAGGGCTGCAGGGGGGAAACAACGGGTCAGCAAACATCCAGGAAGCTTCATATCAGGGGGGGTCAAAACATAGACCAAGACTGGACCGCAGAGGTCCCGATCCTCAGGAATGACTTTTGCCAAAAGTGTTCAATGACAGAGAAGAACATTCAATGATAAACTGAGGCATGAATATGGTTGAAATTGCATTTAATGCTTCTTAAGAATGTCATTTTGTTTCTAAAATGTTTTATAAAGGAAAGTTCCATGAATGATTAAGAATGGTCAGAAATGTAATTTCTTCCACTCAAAGTTTTAAGGGGTTATTTAACAGGTTTATTATGCGTGCTTTTACTGGTCCGGCCCACCTTCAGATCAAAATTGGGCTGTATGTGGACCTGACTAAAAAAAAGAGTGCTATGGGTTGCTAGGCCTACGTGCTTAGGCTAACGTGCTAATCACACTCGAACCATGAGGCCGTGCGCTGGCAGTGCAGGTTGCCCGCCAACGGCGCTGTACTCCCCTGCTGCTGTGTTCTACGTCCCTGCCCATCAGCTTTGTGCGTCTTCCTTCTCCGACAGCATCCCTGTAGCTGTTCGCGGCCTGCGCCTCCACGCCGTCTGGACACATCCACTTAACGGGGATGTCGTCTCCGGGAGAGCGGCTCGCCGCGCGGTCCGCCCAGCAGGGAGCGTCATCCTTCGCTTTCTTCAGGATCTTAATGCCTGTGGGCAAGAGGTTTCTANTTTTTTCTGACATTTTTAGAACAGTGAGATTTATTTGACTTTCAGAAAGAAGGTAAAAAAATGTTTTTTCAGAATTCTGTGAAAAAAAGGCAGAATTATTACTATTTTCTCAAAACTTAATTTCTTATACTTTCTTCTCAAAAATTGCAAAATTCAGACTTTGTTTTATCTCAGTATTCGGCAAATTAAGAGTTAAAACAATTTTTTTTTCCTGAATATCTCAAAATTCAGATTTCTCCAAAGAATTCTGAAAAATACATATTTTTTTAATAAATACCATTTTCCCAAAAACTTCAGAATTCAGATTATTTTTCTTAGATTTCTGACTTTTTTTCCCTCAAAACTCAATTTATTTAATTTTTTTCTTCAGATCTCCAACATGACATGTCTAGCTCATCCTCTTCCGTTGTTAAGGGTGACAGTACATTCTGACCTCCAGCCTCTCTCTCCTCAGACTCTATTGATTCCTTTAGATTGAATAAGAGTCTTACGGGTGACGGTGAGCTTGGCGGACACTCGGTCGTTCCCACACACGAACGTGTACTCGGCGGCGTCTTCTCGGCTCGTGTTGGTGATCTTCAGCTGGTGGAGTTTCCCCTGGACCACGATCCTGAACTTGTCGCTCATCTCGATTACCACGCCGTCCTTCAGCCAGGTGGACGGCACATTGAAGTGAGAGACCTCACACTCGAAGGACGCCGTGTGCGTCTCCGGCACCGAGACGCTCTTCAGAGGCTTGGTGACTCTCAGGGCTGCAGGGATAACATAACAGACGTCACGTAGAGGGAATCTGTATCTCTACTAGGGCTGCACGATATTGGAACAAACTGACATTGCGATTTGAAAAAGTACAGGAATTGAAGACAAGACAGTTTCTTTGTGACCCCAAACCATCCCTTCTTGAACTTTAATGTTGTACAATTAGTATCTTTTTTTAACGATATTTAACCGGATTAAGTATTTTAGTCACGGACGTCTGGATCTTCAGTTATCAGAGCAACGAGCTGAGCTAGCTCGGTTAGCCTGCTGCGATCTGATCGAGACTGGACTATAATAATTATAACAGTTACCCTCCACGGTGAGCGTGGCGCTGCACTGCAGGTGTCCCACCACGGCGCTGTACTCCCCGGCCAGGCTCTGGTCCACGTTCTGCAGAACCAGCTTGTGAGCTTTCCTCTCCGACAGGATCTGGATCTTCTCGCTGCTCTTCAGCTCCGAGCCGTTGAAGGTCCATCGGACCGGGATGTCGTCGTGAGACAGACTGAGCTCGAAGGAGGCGGTGCCGTCCAGAAGAGACGTCACGTCCTTTATCTTCTTCACGATCTTAATCGCTGCAGGACACATCGAAGGTTAAAACAGGTCAACGCTAAACTCTGGGGCAAATCAGAGCTCATATGAAGATACCTACTCATGTGTGCTTTATTACTATTAGCAGATCTCATGGACAGTAGATATTATTTGGTATGTCGTAAATTAGAATATTTATATTATTATTAGCATATTGTAATTTTTTTAAATGTTACTCAAAAATACAAAAAAATACAAAGAAATAAAAAAGAATGAATAATAATATAATAATTAAAAATATAAATTAGAATCCCTCATAAGATACCCCGCCCCACTCACTCTCCACGTTGAGCCGGGCGTTGGCCGACAGCTTCCCCAGCTTGAAGGAGTAGACCCCCTCGTCCTGCGTGCTGCAGCTCTTCACCCTCAGAGTGTGCACGGTTCCCTCGGAGAACATCTGGAACTTGTCGCTGTTCTGCAGCTCGACTCCGTTCCTGATCCACTGCGAGCCCTTCACCCCGCTGTGCGTCAGCTCCAGAGAGAACACCGAGTCCTGGGTCTCCGTCACCGTCTGGTTCTTCAGGGTCTTCTTCATCTTCACCGCTGCAGGTCAGGAACACAGAGACCATCAGGAACACCACCAGGTGGCACCAGAGGGACACTACAGTCCCCTCAAAGCAGCATAACACCAGGAACCACACGGCACCTAGAGGCTTTCAATATTCCTAAAGTCACACTAAATGTTTTACTGTTAATCCACTACGCTCCCAAACTGTGGCAAATTCTAGAAACATGTGTATTATTACTAATAATATAAGAAAATAAAGCTCTTAGTTATCAATATCCCACTTTTACTGTCTTTCTATTTTATTAATTTCTTCTATTTTGTATAATTGTTCTATTTACATATTTTTGTTGATTCATTTTTTAGTTTATTATATTTATTATTTCTTCCAATTAATAATATCTTTATATTTTAATGTGATGTGCAGATGAACTGCAGGGGGCACCAGAGGGACACTAAAGACCCTCAAAGTAGTCAAAAGTATATATTTTTAAATATTTTAAGTAAAGACACATGTGGTATTTTTCATCCCAAGTTGTGGCACATTTATATAAATAAATAAAATGATAATATTTGTAGGTAAAAACCCTGAAAAAAAAAAAAAATCAATAGTTATAGGGTTGAAAATGACAAGGAAAGATAAAAATAATTAAAGAAGATAAAAACATATTAACCAAAGATAAATGGTATAAAAAGCAACTAAGGTAAAAATTCAAAATAATATAATTAATAAAGAAGGTTAATATTATAGAAATATTAAAAATAAACTACAGTCTACCTTGACGTCCCCGTGGTCCCCCTTGTGATTTCTGGGGAGTTTCCATCAGTTTTCATATATAAAAATGTTATAAAATTCATTTCTGTGTGGTACACCATAAAAAGTAGGTTCAACAAGGCGTGTAAATATATTTATTTAATTTTTACTATTATAAACATTAGAGAGAGATTGATTGNTGTGGCAAATTCTAGAAACATGTGTATTATTACTAATAATATAAGAAAATAAAGCTCTTAGTTATCAATATCCCACTTTTACTGTCTTTCTATTTTATTAATTTCTTCTATTTTGTATAATTGTTCTATTTACATATTTTTGTTGATTCATTTTTTAGTTTATTATATTTATTATTTCTTCCAATTAATAATATCTTTATATTTTAATTTGATGTGCAGATGAACTTCTTTTTTTTTCTTTTTTTTTTTTTCATCCCAAGTTGTGGCACATTTATATAAATAAATAAAATGATAATATTTGTAGGTAAAAACCCTGAAGAAAAAAAAAAGTATTATTTTTATTTCGGAACTGAGATTTTTGGCAAAAATTGTAAAACTTTTTTTTTTAAGTAAAGTTTTTATCAGAATTTTGTGGAAAAAGTAAGATTTTTTCGACTTTCAGAAAAAATATTTTATTTCTGAATTCTGACTGTTTTTCTCAAAATTCTGATAAAAATATTTTATTTCTATTTTCGCTTAAAATCAAATTTTCTTCCCAACATTTCTTTCCTTTGTTTTGATCTTTTCCCCACAAATCTCAGATTCCTGACTTTTTTCTAAAAACTGAATTTATTTATATTTCGTGGGGAAAAGATCAAAACAAAGGAAAGAAATGTTGGGAAGAAAATTTGANAACAACCTGACTGTGGAGGGTGAGTAACAACAACAGGAAGTACAAATAAATTCAGTTTAGAGAAAAAAGTCAGGAATCTGAGTCTTTTGGTGAAAAGATTAAAAGGTGGTGAGTACCAACAACAGGGGGTGGAGGGTGAGTAACAACAACAGGGGGTGGAGGGTGAGTAACAACAACAGGGTTGGAGGGTGAGTAACAAGAACAGGGGGTGGAGGGTGAGTAACAACAACAGGGGGTGGAGGGTGAGTAACAACAACAGGGGGTGGAGGGTGAGTAACAACAACAGGGGATGGAGGGTGAGTAACCACAACAACAACAACAGGGGGTGGAGGGTGAGTAACAACAACAGGGGGTGGAGGGTGAGTAACAACAACAGGGGATGGAGGGTGAGTAACCACAACAACAAAAGATTTGGGGAAAAGATAAAAACAAAGGAAAGAA